CAAGTCTAATCTGACAATGCTGAGTCAGGCCAAAACAACAAGTCATATATTATATATTTGAAATGTTGTCATCTTAAATTGTACTTATGTATTATGTGTACAAATAAACAAACAAACAAGCCCGCCAAGTAATATGCTGATGGGTAAAAAGATTTTTCACATTGACCTGTAGACAGTTTCCTGGAATTTCAAATTGGTTTGAATAGTTAACCACATCCAGATTTAACACTAAATGCCAACAAACTTTCATTTTTAATACCTTCTAATTAGTTCTATTTAAACATTAAAAGTAAATACTACTACTACTGCCCCTCATTGAGAAGGAATATTATACTACAGTTCAATTTAGGACATCTGCTATCGTTTTAAAACTCTCATTTTGACAGAGACTCTTGACTACATTATTCCATTTTATTCATCTAGAGATTGTTATTTTGCTCTTCAGTATTAATTTTGTGCTTCTAATGTGCTCTTAAGTTGCTGTAGCTTAAATGTTTCACATAATGTGGCCCAAGAACCCTTTCTATAATGGATAACACTACACACAAGTGAAATTGATATTTTAAAAAAGAGTAACACTTTATAATCTCAATTGAACAATGTATTTCATATCAACTTAGATCTGTATTATGGGAAAACAGATCTTAACTACAGGATTTTCAGAGTATTCATTTTTTCTTCCTTATACCAGCAGCACAGCAAATGCATTTGAAACTAAATACACAAAGGTATACACATTTTATGTGCACTGTGGGGTAACACTAAAATGTTAAAGGAAGGCATCATTTAAGAAAGTATCATAGAATCATAGAATCATAGAATAATAGGACTGGAAGGTACCTCGAGAGGTCATCGAGTCCAGCCCCCCGCCCTCAAGGCAGGATCAAGCTCCGTCTACACTATCCCTGACAGATGTCTATCCAACCTGTTCTTAAATATCTCCAGAGAGGGAGATTCCACCACCTCCCTTGGCAATTTATTCCAATATTTGACCACCCTGACAGTTAGGAATTTTTTCCTAATGTCCAATCTAAACCTCCCCTGCTGCACTTTAAGCCCATTACTCCTTGTCCTGTCCTCAGAAACCAAGAGGAACAAATTTTCTCCTTCCTCCTTGTGACACCCTTTTAGATATTTGAAAACCGCTATCATGTCCCCCCTTAATCTTCTTTTTTCCAAACTAAACAAGCCCAGTTCATGAAGCCTGGCTTCATAGGTCATGTTCTCTAAACCTTTAATCATTCTTGTTGCTCTTCTCTGTACCCTTTCCAATTTCTCCACATCTTTCTTGAAATGTGGCGCCCAGAACTGGACACAGTACTCCAGCTGAGGCCTAACTAGTGCAGAGTAGAGCGGCAGAATGACTTCACGAGTTTTGCTTACAACACACCTGTTGATACAACCTAGAATCATATTTGCTTTTTTTGCAACAGCATCACACTGTTGACTCATATTCAACTTGTGGTCCACTATGACCCCTAGATCCCTTTCTGCCATGCTCCTTCCTAGACAGTCGCTTCCCATCTTGTATGTATGGAACTGATTGTTCCTTCCTAAGTGGAGCACTTTGCATTTCTCTTTATTAAACCTCATCCTGTTTACCTCTGACCATTTCTCTAACTTGCTAAGGTCATTTTGAATTATGTCCCTATCCTCCAAAGAAGTTGCAACCCCACCCAGTTTGGTATCATCTGCAAACTTAATAAGCGTACTCTCTATCCCAATATCTACATCATTGATGAAGATGTTGAACAGTATGGGTCCCAAAACAGACCCTTGAGGAACTCCACTTGTTATCCCTTTCCAGCAGGATTTAGAACCGTTAACAACAACTCTCTGACTACGGTTATCCAGCCAATTATGCACCCACCTTATCGTGGCCCTATCTAAGTTATATTTGCCTAGTTTATCAATAAGAATATCATGCGAGACCGTATCAAATGCCTTACTAAAGTCTAGGTATATGACATCCACCGCTTCTCCCTTATCCACAAGGCTCGTTATCTTATCAAAGAAAGCTATCAGATTAGTTTGGCATGACTTGTTCTTCACAAACCCATGCTGGCTATTCCCTATCACTTTATTACCTTCCAAGTGTTTGCATATGATTTCCTTAATTACCTGCTCCATTATCTTCCCTGGGACAGACGTTAAACTGACCGGTCTGTAGTTTCCTGGGTTGTTCTTATTCCCCTTTTTATAGATGGGCACAATATTTGCCCTTTTCCAGTCTTCTGGAATCTCCCCTGTCTGCCATGATTTTTCAAAGATCATAGCTAAAGGCTCAGATACCTCCTCTATCAGCTCCTTGAGTATCCTGGGATGCATTTCATCAGGACCTGGTGACTTGCTGACATCTAACTTTCCTAAGTGATTTTTAACTTGTTCTTTGTGTATCCTATCTTCTAAACTTACCCTCTCTCTGCTTGTATTCACTACGTTAGGCACACCTCCAGACTTCTCGGTGAAGACCGAAACAAAGAAGTCATTGAGCATCTCCGCCATTTCCAAGTTCCCTGTTACTGCTTCTCCCTCCTCGCTAAGCAGTGGGCCTACCCTGTCCTTGGTCTTCCTCTTGCTTTTAATGTATTTATAAAAGGTCTTCTTGTTTCCCTTTATGCCTGTAGCTAGTTTGATCTCATTTTGTGCCTTTGCCTTTCTAATCTTGCCCCTGCATTCCCGTGTTGCTTGCCTATATTCATCCTTTGTTAGTTGTCCTAGTTTCCATTTTTTATATGACTCCTTTTTTATTTTGAGATCGTGCAAGATCTCCTTGTTAAGCCAAGCTGGTCTTTTGCCATATTTTCTATCTTTCCTACACAGCGGAATTGTTTGCTTTTGGGCCCTTAACAACGTCCCTTTGAAATACTTCCAACTCTCCTCAGTTGTTTTTCCCTTCAGTCTTGCTTCCCATGGGACCTTACCTACAAGTTCTCTGAGCTTATCAAAATCTGCCTTCCTGAAATCCATTACCTCAATTGTGCTGGTCTCCCTTCTACCTTTCCTTAAGATCATGAACTCTATTATTTCGTGATCACTGTCCCCTATACTGTCTTCCACTTTCAAGTTCTCAACTAGTTCCTCCCTATTTGTTAAAACCAAATCCAGAACAGCTTCTCCTCTGGTAGCTTTTTCAACCTTCTGAAACAGAAAGTTGTCTCCAATGCAGTCCAGAAACTTATTGGATAGCCTGTGCCTCGCTGTGTTAGTTTCCCAACATATGTCTGGATAGTTGAAGTCCCCCATCACCACCAAATCTTGGGCTTTGGATAGTTTTGTTAATTGTTTAAAAAAGGCCTCATCCACCTCTTCCACCTGGCTAGGTGGCCTGTAGTAGACTCCTAGCATGATATCACCCTCGTTTTTTACCCCTTTTAGCTTAACCCAGAGACTCTCTACACAGCTATCTCCTACGTTCATCTCCACTTCAGTCCAAGTGTGTACATTTTTAATATACAAGGCAACCCCTCCTCCCTTTTTTCCCTGTCTGTCCTTCCTGAGCAAGCCGTACCCTTCCATACCAATATTCCAATCATGCGTCCCATCCCACCAGGTTTCTGTAATACCAATGATATCATAGTTGTATTTATTGGTTAGCAATTCCAGTTCTTCCTGCTTATTACCCATACTTCTCGCATTTGTATATAGGCATCTAAGATACTGATTTGATCTTGCCTCCCTGTTGTGCCCTGACCCTCCTTTCTCCTTCCCATTATAGGCCGTAGTCCCCCCCATTTCCAACCCATCTCCCAGTCCCGCACATGCAGCACATTAAGTACATTAAGCATTAAGGCTATTTTTCATAATTCATCTTAACAGCTTCCACTATATTTGTCTTAAGAAACCACTCCATCTCCTGTATCCTGCACAAATTACTCACTCTAATTCATCAGTCTGATTTTTTTTAAAGACTCCTATCAAAAAGAGTCGCACATATCACCTACAGTGATTATCTATGTCAATACTTTAGGAGTCACTCAACTGGGATCCAGCAACAGCAATCTAAAAATTACTCATCTTCCCATCTTCCACACTAAAGACCCAATCCGAGAACTACTACAGTCAATGGAAAGATTCCCAACTGACTTTCAGATGAGGCCCAATATAGCAATAATTTCAGATACCTGTGAAAAATATTCTATCATTGCTTGTATTCTATCATTCCATCAAATAACATTTTGTTTGGAAGTTGTGGAGTTGATGCATGGGGGAATGTGTCACACGTTTAACACTAAGAATGATTTTAACAAAAGCAGAAGACTTGTTGGGCATGAGATAGAGAGAGAGGAAGGGAATATGTGGAATATTTTTCCAGACATGTTTTAACTTTAGAAACTGCAGTTCCAGACTGAACTGATATGGATTGTTGCTTTATATTCCCCAAAAATTGCACCCACAGCTAGTCTCCATCAGCCTGAAAGTTATGAGAAAGTTAACAAGCTATAGCTATGTCTAGACTACAGAGTTTTTCTGGGATACCAGAAAAAAAACTGCGCCACATCCAGGGAGCGCGTTTGCTCTTCTGACATTTTTTGTGAAAGAGGAGATGCATTCTTTCACAAGCATGTCTTCCTCGTGCCACGAGGAAGAAGGACTCTTCTGAAAAAGGATGTTCTTTGAAAATTTGGCCCAGTGTAGATGGGCCAAATTTTGGGAAAGTCTCTTCCAAAAAACCTATCGGAAAAAGGTATGCAAATTGTGGAACGCGATTTGCATACCTTTTTGCAACAAACAGCAGCAGTCTAGACATAGCCTCCATCACCAAAATATCAGTACAGATAAAACTCTGACCCTTATGAAATTAATGGCAAAAATCTCATTGGCCTCAGTGGAGTCAGAATTTTATTCTGTGTCTTCTGAATTGCTAACTTTGAAAGGACAATTTTTCTTAAATTATTGAGCTTACACATGAACTACCAGTAAATTTTCGTCTTCCATTATGAATGTACTTTTTTTCCTTTAAAACAAATTTAAAGAGATAACAAAATGTTAGAACTTACATTCAATATCAAGGTACATGCTCTTTTGATGCCCACCAATTCTACTTGCAGCTTCACAGTCATATCTGCCTGAATCTGACAACTTCACATCTTTAATATGCAGTGACGATTTTCCATGCTGCCCTTTGACTTCTATACGGCCATCTGGGCTCTGTTCACATTGATTCAAGAAAGAGAAAGGTTTTTTTTATGTAGATATATATGTATATGTGTATTTATTTATATATAAAACACAATGAATAATTAAGACTAATTGTACACTACTTGTGAAAACATCTCGTAACATATGGTGAAATAAATATAAATGAGTAAGCAATTTTAAAATCTAAAAAATGTACAAATTAACCAAAAAAGTTCTAAAGAAAAGATAAGGACTAATTCTAGACTTCATGGCTCAGACAATAAGTACCTGCTTAAAGGAACACTGTCAAATATCAGAGGGGTAGCCGTGTTAGTCTGGATCTGCAAAAGTGACAAGGAGTCCTGTGGCACCTTATAGACTAAAAGATGTATTGGAGCATAAGCTTTCGTGGGCAAAGACCCACTTCGTCAGATGCATGTAGTGGAAATTTCCAGAGGCAGGTATAAATATGCAGGCTAGAGATAATAAAATTAATTCAGTCAGGGAGGGTGAGGCCCACTTCGTCATCTGCTAGAAATTTCTGGAAATTTCCACTACATGCATCTGACGAAGTGCATCTTTGCCCACAAAAGATTATGCTCCAATACATCTGTTAGTCTATAAGGTGCCACAGGGCTTCTTGTCACTGTCAATTAGTTAGCCTCCCACCCGCAATGAATTTTTAAAATTGATAAAATCTGATAAACTTTGCGTATCTAATTTTGAAATAGCTTATTTGAAAATTGGGAGCATCTACACAGCACTTACTTCAAAATAGAATACTCTTCCTCCGACTTCCCTTATTCCTCGTACAATGAGGGTTACAAGAGTTGGAGTAAAAAGTCCTCTAGCTTGACAGTATTATGACATTATTTAGAAATAGCTACCAGCTATGTAGACATACCCTTAAGTGTTCTTTTTATGGCAGCTAGTGTTGAAGGATTTTGTCTCATTTCTTCATGATTATTTTCATAATTCACAGGATTGGTCACATTAACACAATATAATATCAGCAATGTGTACTTTGGAACTGTTATATAAACAAAACTATGGTCCTGATTCCACCAGAGAATCCAATAGCACCTGCTGCATTTGTTATGCACAATCCCCAAGGTCAGTGGGATTCTGGATCAGTGCAGGGGTTTACACTAGTAGATGCCAGATGTGGTCTCCAAATCCCTCAAACTAGTGGAACTAAGAGAAGATTTCTATTTCCTACTATGTCAGTCTTTTGTTGCTGTAGGTTATATCAAAAAAGTGCATATCTCCAAGGCATCAAAATACTGAGACAATTGTCAGAATTTACAAAGTCAATAAAGAACTTGATCTTGATACCTCATTTTTTGTGCAATTATTTCTTTGTTGTGATCTTTTTTACATTTTTGCTTTCAATATAATATTTATTTGTATTTATTTGCAGATGTAGAACATTTTCAATTTTTTGTTTTAATGTTTGTTAAAACTGATGGCTGTTATTTATTTGGACCCTCTTGGATTGATTCCTTAAAAAGTGAAACGAACAATTAATGGAGACTTCTATATTAGGTTGGTTCCCGTTTAAAAAATAAATTGGGAAAACTCAGTGTTTCAGCAGTTTGACAATACATTCTACTTTCCTGATTTTACCTTGCAAAGAGTAAATGGATCATATTAGGTAATATTTACTCAGACAACCTTACCACTTGTGAATATAACTTTACCTTAAAAAGTCACAAATACTGCAGAGAGTAGTTAACAGCACTATCCATTCATTAACAATTAACACCCTAAGGGCATGTCTACATGGCAGGTCTAAAGCTGAAATAAGCTACACAACTTGAGCTATGTCAATTGCATAGATGAAGTCGAAATAGCTTATTTTGGCTTTTGGCACTGTCTCCACAGCAGGAAGTCCAAGGAAGAGCACTCTTCTTCCAACGTCCCTTACTCCTCATCAAATGAGGATTACAGGAATCAGAATAAGAGGTCCTCCACCTCAACATTATTTCAACAGTATGTCAAAATATCTGCTTGTAGTTTAGACACGGACTATGTTATTCTGAAATAACACTGCTGTGTAGACATACCCTAAAAGAGTAAGGTAATACAAATTAAAGGAAAAAAATGATGTGATTAATGAACAGGATGTAAGGCCTCATTTAGGGTTAATACCAGGGGATAACATCCTTGCATGCAGCTCCAATTAAAATATAGGTCCCTTTAATTAAACTTGAATTTGCTTAGTTATGAACAACCTATAGTAATAAACTTCTTCCTTAGAAGAATCTAAATCTAACATTTCAGATACAGTAGGTCAAAGTAATGAGAGATGACTTAAGGAAAATATTTGATCTGCACTATCTGTTGGTTTCTGAAAGGCCTGAAACAAGAAATAAAATTCTATTTAAAAAAATTCCATATAAACTATGAGAGACATTTTTATTGGTTTCTACCTTTTTTGGATATGATATGATATATTCTCCTGAAAAACTGTAGTGTATAATATTATCACTAAAATATATCTGTTAAAATTATTTTACTGGGTGCCCTTTTAAAAACAAATGTTGCTAATGTTTAACTATTTCCAGCAGTGGTCAGTACCACATCTTTCAGCATTTCTTCCATCAGATGATTTACATACTAGAAGATAGGAGTTTTTATCCCTTCCAATTCCTGGTGTGTGTTGGGAGGTATTTTACTGGTAATACTTATCTAATAGAACTGTGGATGTTTCCATTATTCAAACAAATAGGCTATCCCCTTTTTTTAAAATCACAAATAAAAGTGAAGGTATTTTCATTAAACAGTTGTACAATAGATTTCTCAATTTCTAACACCACATCTTGCAACCTGCCAAACTGGTAATTAGGGACTCAGTGTGTAACAAAGACCGAAAATGAGGGAAAAGAAAGAAATACTCATTGGAAAACTTAAGATGTTATCTGATTTATTTTTTTAATGTAAATAACACCTACATTACCTTTGTTCCCTGATTCTTTATTTTGGAAGTAAATCGATTTTAACAATGTTTCACACCACATGAGTCCAATGCAGGTGTGTTTAGGGTTAAAATGAATGATATTCTTCCAAATGAGACATATGACTATACAATACAAAAAAATATTTCTGTGTACTGTTAGAATAATCCCAATGTATCCACAGCTCATACTCTTGAAATCAATTGGGATTTGCCTAAGGACTTCAGGACAGGCTCTTCTGTGTATTTATAGCTTCATGATTACAGAAAAGGAAAATATATTACACACACACTCAATAGCATTACTTACAATAGTAAACATTATTAAGGAAACATGTAATTTAGGAAAAAGTTTATTTTATTACGATATTTTTCAATTAGTAAACAGAAGTCCATGGCAGGATATTAAGAGCATTTTTGCACAGTATAGTGATTATCACAACAGAAGTATGTAATAAATAAAACAAATCTTTTCTTTATAAATGTTGATCATTACACCTCATTGATCAATGGTTCAATTAGTGTCTATTTACTTTATTAGAAGAATAAGAAGTTATGACTATTTCCAAACTACCAGAAAAGGTCAGCAAGGTCATATCTCTATCAAATACTAAATACATTCAGTAGGCCAAATTCTTCTCTTTGTTACATCTGTGTAAACCCACAACTGTTAATCAGTTAGGGTATGTCTACACTACCCCGCTAGTTCAAACTAGCGGGGTAATGTATGCATACCGAACTTGCTAATGAAGCCCGGGGTTCGCACTAGCCGGCTTTTAAAAATGGCGGCGGCGGCTTTATGCTAATGAAGCCCGGAAATTCAAATCCCGGGCTTCATTAGCAAGTTCGGTATGCATACATTACCCCGCTAGTTTGAACTAGCGGGGTAGTGTAGACATACCCTAAGACAGGTACACCTGCGATCAGAATTTACCCAAGCTAACTGCCTATAAAAGTGAATATTCTACTTTGTTAATCTACCACTCTGATATTGATGCTCTTAACCATATATAATGAGAAGCATATGACCATTTGAATAAAATTTGTTTTTTTCATTTCAGTGGGCTTTATCATTGGTTACTTTGTTTACCTTCCCATCAGTATGTCTTTATTAGGTTTGACAAGGGTATAGCTGGAGAAAATAAAATATTATGGTATATTTCTATGGAAAATATATTTCAAAAAATATATTATGGAAATATATTTCAAAAAATAAACTGGTAATCTTGCTATATATTTTAGATTCCATCTGTCTTTCTGTGCATCTATGAATCCATTAGTTCAGGATCTCCTAAACTGTAAGAGCAATGACCATCAAATTTGGTATACAACTTCCTCTTACCTTAACTTAAACCAAGGTCAGGATTTATTTGTGCCTGGAAAATGTGACATGCCAGGAATGGGACTGTCTTCCATAACATGGAAGGGGAGGGGTAGAGAAAGGAGCAATGAGAAAGGGAGAGGCACAAGGAGTAGGGATGCAATACTGAGAGTGGCCACTGAGGGGCAGCTGCAGCACCAAGAAAGTGACCAGAAGGACTGAGCTCTGCCATCTTGCCCTGCCTCCAGAATGTATAAGTAGTCCCTCTGCCCTAAAGCTGGAGCCTCCCCAACCCCTGTGGAGAGCCTACAGGCCATGAAGTGGGGCCAATGGAGGAGATAGCAGCTCCTGGAGCCTTGTACCCCCCAGAAAGCCTGCAGGTTGCATGTGAGGATGAAGGGGGGGGGCAGCTGGAGGGAGCACAGCACCTAGAGCCTGGGGGGGGGAGGGGAATATCCACTGGAGGAAGGGGCAACCCCTGGAAATTAGCCCCTTGCAGACAGCCCACAGGTCGCAGTGGGCAGTAGAAGCATGGGCAGCTCCAGAGCCAGGCTCCCCCAGATAGCCTATAGGCAGTGGGGCGATAGCTGGGGGGGCAATCAGCCCCCCAGAGCCTAGTACCTCCACTGCCTGAAGGCCATGGGGGAGGGGGATATCCACTGGAGGAAGGGGCAACCCCTGGAAATTAGCCCCTTGCAGACAGCCCACAGGTCGCAGTGGGCAGTAGAAGCATGGGCAGCTCCAGAGCCAGGC